TGGGAGCCTGCTTCTCCCTCTGCCTCTCTGTCTCTCTCTGTCTCTCATGAATAAATAAATAAAATCTTTAAAAAAAATCAGATTACTTAACAGAATGATTTAATAAAGACTTGAGAGATCCATAGTATATATGCACTGACTGATGGGGGTGAGGAGGCAGAAATGTTCGAAAACAGGAATCAGCCCCTCAAAAAGGCATTTACCCAGGGGGAGAAGCCAGTACTTTTGGAGACAAATTTACCAAAAAAAAAGGTAGTTAAGATCCCAAAACTGTAGGGGCGCCCAGGTGGCTCAATTAGGCGGCTACCTTTGGCTTGGGTTTTGATTGCGGAGTCCTGGGATTGAGCCCTGCATCTGGCTCCCTGCTCAGCCAGGAGATTGCTTCTCCCTCTGCCCCTTCCCCTGCTCATGCATGTGCACTCTCTCTTTCAAATAAATAGATAAAAATCTTTAAATTAAAAAAAAATCCCAAAAGTGTAATCAAGGGACTAGGTCAACATTTTATAACATCAGGATTTCCTTTCTCTGGAGCACTGGTAGAGCACTTGTGCTTAAAAGAAGGTCACCTCTGGGTTCCTGGGTGGCTCAGTTGGTGAAGCATCTGCCTTGGGCTCAGGTCATGATCCCAGGGTCCTGGGATCGAGGCCCACGTCAGGCTCGCTGCTCAGCGGGGAGCCTGCTTCTTCCTCTGCTTCTGCCTGGCCCTCTGTCTGCCTCTCTGCCTACTTGTGCTCTCTCTCTATATATCAAATAAATAAATAAAATCTTTAAAAAAGAAAGAAAGAAAGGAAGGAAGAAAGAGAGAGAAAGAAAGAAAGGTCACCAAAGGACATGAAGGGGAAATTGGATTCTGTGAGACACAAGGGCTTCAGAATTGACACCTGAGCCCTCACTGCTGAAAGGGAGGGAGGGAGAGGGCTGGAGCAGGCACAAGGCTCCAGGGCCTTCAAACTGAGCCATAGTGGAAAGACCCCAGCCTCCGGAGAGAGAGTGACATTGAGTTAAATCCTCAAATCATCACTTACTAGCTTTGTCCCTTTGGACAAGTTATTTAGGTTTTTTTGAATCTCAGTTTTCTCATCAATCAGGACTTAACAAACTTTCGCTGTAAAGGGTCAAATAGTAAATGTTTTAGTCTTTGCAGGCAATATAATCTCTGTTGCAACTACTCAACTCAGCCTTTGTAGTGAAAAAGCAGCAATAGATAATATGTAAATGAAAGAACATGGCTGTGTCCTGGGGCACCTGGCTGGCTCAGTTAGTTGGGCATCCTATTCTTGGTTTCAGCTCAGGTCATGATCTCAGGGTTATGGGATAGAGCCCCTCAACAGGCTCTGCACTCAGCACAGAGTCTGCTTGTCCCTCTCCCTCCCCCTCTGTTCCTCCCTATCCCAGCTCTCTCGCTCTTTCTAAAATAA